GTATTTATCAGCCGCAGCAGTCATATAAGTGGTGTTTGCTATTTGGCCGTACTCACATTTAAAATTCCGATTCCAAACTGGAATGGCTCCAAGCAAAGGCGCATGAATGATTCTGAAAGAGTCCCTCTTCACAATAATTCTGGTTGCGTAGATAGGTAGTAACGGAATTTTGTATCACGTTGCAGGAGACAACGAATCGACTTCTTGTTTGTACTCAAACTCGCAGTCATTCTAGCAGTCAGAGAGCCCCATTAAAATTGCACCTTATTTTGAGCCTTGATTCTGCACTGTGGGTGTACTTTTTCCTCAAGATTGGCACACTTTCACTTCCCATCACTTCTTGCGAATGACTTCAATAATTTCCACCGCTTACCTGTCTGTCTACATCTCATAGCGCCTGTACCTCAACAGAGGTCTAATCTACCACACAAGGCGGACTCGTGAAAGTGTTGGTGTCATGCGCCGAAAAGACAATCATGTACTTAACAGAAGACCAATGGAAGTTGTCTGCGTCTTGACTACACACAATTGCTACTACTTTGATCTCAGGAAATCATGATAGAGCGACCAAACCGCAATATCTTGGTATGCATGGGAAAGGTGATCAGGAGCAAAAAGTGTGAAAAGCTGGTGTCAAGTGCCAAAGAGGCGATTACGTGGGAATCGTTCTCATAGACGACAATAATCCTAGCGTAGAGCTGGCTGCAATCTCCAAGATTCAAAAATGCTCGCATGCAGTTCTGATGAAGTCAGTGGCAAAGAAATAAATATTTACTACAAGGAGCAGCCAATTCCTACAATGGTCTGATGGTGAGCAGGATTCTCATTTATCGCTGCTCACCGTCACTGTCTATTGAGAAAACCAAACTCATTACCGAGGCTTAGCTGACGGGTGCTTCAGCGCATTTTGTGTTGTTAATTATTAGGTTGGAAAGGAAGTTCTGCAACACTCTTTCTAAAATTTTCTTTTTTCTGAAAAATTATAAGGTAACATTTATGACTAACAAATGGTAGAGCATTCTCGAGGCTTCAATCCACGAGGTGGGTATAAGTGCTGCGGCCAGTAGATATCCAAGAAAATTCAAAAAACCTCGACCACTAGTAAATCCGTACTCCGAGTGACTGTCTACTACAAATTTCTCCAGAACTATGGATTCCTGTCAAAGTCGAACACCATGTGCAATAGCTTCAAGAAGCATGCCGCTCACAGCTACAGCATGTTTCACCTTTACCAGCGCTTTCGATCATTTGATATTTACAAGAAGCCAGCAGCGTCCCGCACACTCCTTTATAGAAAGGCTCCTATAGAAGCTCCGCTACAAATTCTTTGTTACGGGCACCATTGTGTAGCTAAAGGTCTAGGCTGCGGAACTTCAGAAGCTGGCCGAGGCAGCTCGTCACGAGCCCTCGTATCGCGACAATATTTCTTTCTTTCATGACATTGCGAATCGCCGTGATCCGAAATGAGCCCGCTAAGAAATTCTGGAGCTGCGACAAGATTTCTTACCTCCCTTAGCGGATTGCCCTGGTCGAGCTGTTAATGAATGCCACCTGTCCTAGACCTCAAATCATCTTTTTGATGCATATATTGAGACTATCATTCCAACTCGAAAGTGAGGTCGCTTCCTTTCTCGAGCCGCATTCCGCTTGGTTTTGGCAAAGGAGCATCAAGAAATTTTCTGAGCGTTGAAGACAATTGGTGGACACTCATGGTAGATATACGATCCGTCAGGAGTTGTAAACAAAGAAGATAAAATTAAAATCAAAAATTTGAAAAAGTGTTGCAGGACTTTCTTTCCAACCTAATATCTACCCACTCTGAGAAGGAATTCTTTCTTTTCAATAAGACGTAGCTTCTGCATAGGAGGCGAAATTTGTTTGCGACTGATGTCATGCATGTCATGATGACCAAATTCTCATCCTCAAACGAGTACCTTTTCAATCCCTTGATTTAACACATTGACGACAACGCGTGGGATATATATCCCGCGCATTGCAGGCCATGTCGGAACGTGTGGGATATATATCCCCCGCACCCATTACTCATTTTTTTTCCATAGAAGAGACCTGACGTAGCGACAAACATAGTGGCCCTTAGAATGATCACGTAGGCTTTAATTTAGAGGAGGATTTCTGAGCAATACAAAATCTTCATTTCAATGAATTTTTCGTTTACTTTTCTTTTTATTGATGTGAAGATTTAAATAGTAGTAGAAGTAGATGAGGAACCTTAGGGACGACAATATGTGTGTTTTGATCGGAGTAATCAACGTAAAATAGCTCTTGAGGTCCGTTGCAGCTAGTTCTGATTAACTTCGCTTTTTCATTGTTACTCCATGTCTTTCGATCGAAATTCCACTACCCCTGTTAAGGTGGCGCTCATTTGAATTTACTGATTTGGTTTTGAATTCATCAATAGTTGTGTATTTATCACTCAAAATCTCCTTGAACGACCTGAGGTGAGCGCGCCCGCAAAATCGCCCACGTGGCCAAAAAAGCCAAAACTCGCGTTGTCGTCAATGTGTTAATGTGCTGGACCGCCCCGTATGGGCTGTTTTAATGACAGACCTGCACATGCATCCACGTAGAGGAACTAAAGATTTCCTTCATCTGAAAGGACACCCTAGGATGCCGCGCGGCAACGGTAGAGTTGCCTTTGGAGAAACTGGGAGCTATACACACAGCAACAAGGGTGGTAGGTAGCTGAATAATTCCTTCTCTTTCAAATGTAAATACAGGGGGGCCAAAAAAAAGACATTTTGCCTCCACTTCCAGATGGATTTAAGCACATTTCACTCAACTCAGACCGAACGTTTCCAACTTATTATTAAAGAGTGCATTCCATTCTATAAGAAAATCATCATAGTGGCCACGTACGTGGACGGCATCAGAAGAATTAGCCCTGGAAACATGGTGCACTGGTCGATCTCAATGGGGTCTTCGAAGGATCGTGTACCATAACGACCCTTACTGGAAAGCTAGTTCCGAGGGGATTTGCACAGTGGTAGCTAATGCCTCTAGAAAACTATCCAACATTAAATCGATTCACCGAAATTGCGTAAGAGCTTCAGGCTGAAGCTCTTACGGTAGACCTCCTTGAGCCTGACGACGGTGACAGATGACGTCATATTCTGAAGACGGTGAGGGCAGTGAAGGAGAGCCTGTGTTCACTTATAGAGGGATACTTAGGGAATACTCTGCTGAGGAACTCCCGTCAACGACAGCAATATCTGCGAAGAAAAAAGAGCCGAAGTCCGACATAGGCAAAATGTCTTTTTTTTGCCCCCCCCCCTGTATAGGCCAGGAATATTTATAAAAATCTTCAAATTTCAAGAAAAATTGAAGAATTTGTCCCAGTAGCAGTGCATTCATTGACTAATTCCATGCTTCGGCCTTGTTGAAATTTCAGCGGCTCCAGAAACTTATTATCCAAAATATTGAGTCTGCTCAATGTTATTCGTCATGCGTTAGATTGTCTTGTTGAATTGTGAACTTTTTGCAGTGAATTCGAACTTACTTGGAATTCAGTCATACTCGAGAATTCCTAGTAAAATGATGCTTTCATTCTTAACTCTTTCTCCCATTCAAAACAAATAAGCCAGTTTAGTGAAGAAGGCTTGTCTTCAAAACATATTGAAATTCGAACTGAGTTGATTCGGCAGAAAAAAATGTTACAGTCGAAAAAATTGTTCCACCGGAAACACCGGAGACTGTTGAACGCT